CAAATGGCTGTCCAGTCTCTTCTTAAAAACTTACAGTGTTGGGAGAGGGAGGGAGGGAGGGAGAGAGAAAGAAAAGAAAAGAAAGAAAGAAAGAAAGAAAGAAAGAAAGAATAAGACTCGGAAGGGACCTTGGAGGTCATCTAGTCCAACCCCCTGCTCAGGCAGGAAACCCTATACCATTTCAGACAAATGGCTGTCCAGTCTCTTCTTAAAAACTTACAGTGTTGGGAGAGGGAGGGAGGGAGGGAGGGAGGGAGGGAGAGAGAGAGAGAGAGAGAGAGAGAGAAAGAAAGAAAGAAAGAAAGAAAGAAAGAGAAAGAAAGAAAGAAAGAAAGAAAGAAAAGAATAACAGAATAACAGACTCGGAAGGGATCTTGGAGGTCATCTAGTCCAATCCCCTGCTCAGGCAGGAAACCCTATACCATTTCAGACAAATGGCTGTCCAGTCTCTTCTTAAAAACTTGCTCTCCCATTTTTGTTTAATGGGGAAGGGGGGGGGGAAATACTGATCTCTTCTGAGGAGACAGTCCGTTTTGGCTTGGGGGTAATTATTTGCTGCAAGTTCTACTCTCCATCTGAGAATTTCCTCTTGCAAGGGGGGGGCATTGGGGACCCCAAGAGAGGAGAGGATGGGCAGCTGAGTGTTGGCATCCTGGCAGGGAGAAAGGAGCAGGGTTATTCTCCAAAGTGCCTGAAGGCAGGACAAGAAGCAACGGAGGGAAACTCATCAAGGAGAGAAGCAACCTAGAACGAAGGAGAAACTTCCTGTTAGAACAATTAACCAGTGGAACTCCTTACCTCCAGAAGCTGTGAATGCTCCAACACTGGAGGTTTTTAAGAAGAGACTGGACAGCCATTTGTCTGAAATGGTACTATAGGGTTTCCTACCTGAGCAGCGGATTGACTAGATGATCTCCAAGGTCTCTTCCAACTTTATTATTATTATTATTATAAGAGACCCTCACAGGAGTGGCAGCAGCCAGAACATACCATGGCATGCAACCGTGAACACAGCAGTTCATCCCCAGGCCAGGAAGACGCTGAAGGGCAGCAGCTGGAGGGAAGGCGGGGGTCCTGGTGGAACCCCACTCCCCCCCTCCTCAGCTGCCTGGGTTGGCATCTCCTGGGCAGCTCTTGCCAAGGCCTCCCCCCTCTCCTCTGCAGGTCTCTTTGAGCCCATCGACATGATGTACGAACTGAGCAGGAACAACCAAACCGACCCTTCCTTGACCGAAATGGTGAGGGTGGCGATCCGGATGCTGCAGAAGAACCCCCATGGATTCTTCCTACTGGTGGAGGGTGAGCCACGGGAAGGGGGAACGCCGTGGCTGCTGGGGAGGGGGAGGGACTGAAGAGGGCTGGGGGAACCAAGGGTGGGAATTCACCCTCTCCGTTCTCTGAAGGGGGCAGGATTGACCACGGGCACCACGAGGGGAAGGCCAAGCAGGCCCTCCACGAGACGGTGGAAATGGACCGAGCCATCGGCGAGGCTGGCATCCTGACCTCTTCCGAGGACACCCTGACAGTGGTGACCGCGGACCACTCCCATGTCTTCACCTTCGGGGGCTACACAACCCGTGGCAACTCCATTTTCGGTATGGGACGTCTCCTGTGAACTGGCACCCCTAACCCTGTGTGAATGTTTTGAGTTCTTGGTCGGCGAAATGCCCTTGGATAGCAGAGGACGCAGTTTCCTGGGGGGAAACGAAACTTGTGGGGTACATTATGGTGCTAGCTGGTGCCACAATACTGGGCCTCCCTCACCCTGGGCGAAAGGGGCCTGGGAAGTATTTGTTGTTGTTGGTTGCGAAGTCATGTCCGACCCATCACGAACCCATGGACAACGTTCCTCCAGGCCTTCCTGTCCTCTACCATCTGGAGTCCATTGAAGCTCACGCCTCCTGCTTCAGGGACTCCATCCAGCCACCTCCTTCTCTGTCGTCCCCCCTTCTTCTCTTGCCCTCCATCTTTCCCGGCATTAGGCTCTTCTCCAGTGAGTCCTTCCTTCTCATTAGGTGCCAGCTTAATGCCAGGATCAACCCTATAATGTCCACGTAGAGACAGGCCCCAAAGAGGTTGTGGGAGAAGCATTAGTAAAGATGGCTTCCTCTTTGTCTAGGGCTGGCCCCGATGCAGAGCGACATGGACAAGAAGCCCTTCACTTCCATCCTGTACGGAAACGGACCCGGGTACAAAATGGTAGCCGGAGAGAGAGAGAACGTCTCGGCGGTCAATTTCAGTGAGTATCAGTCCATAGTTCCCCCTCTCTCTTCCAGGGTTCAACGGGACTTGTTCGTTTCCAGAAGGGCATCTAGAGTGGCTCTTTGACCAGTCCAGACCAGATTTCGGAAGGATCAGCCGTGGTGCTCGTCCCACCAAGAGTAGCCAGGCCGTCTTTTCTCCCTTACCTGCTCTCCAAATGCCAATGGGCATCAGCATATCCTGCTTTCCTTCGTCTCACTCTGTGGGGCACTCACCTTCTCTCTCTCTCCCTCCGCAGCCGATACCAACTACCAAGCGCAGTCAGCCGTCCCGCTGCGCATGGAAACGCACGGAGGGGAGGACGTGGCCGTCTTCGCCAAGGGCCCCATGGCTCACCTCCTCCACGGGGTCCACGAGCAGAACTACATCCCCCACGTGATGGCCTACGCAGCCTGCATCGGCGAGAACCAGGCGCACTGCCACTCGGGCGCGCCAGGCAGCAGCCACTCCGGGTCCGTCCCTCTGATGTCGGCCATCTTCTCCGTTCTCCTGCTCCGAGTTTTGTTCTAAAGGCTCTGCTCCTCAGACTCTCTGGATCGAGGCGTCTGCCTGCTTTCGAGATTTCCAGCCTCAAATATCCCTCGCGGGGTTTCTGGCTTCGTGGAGGGGGAAAAACCACATTGGACGGCTTGACTTACTTCCCAAGGAACTGCTCCGCTCTGGAACAGGATGATCTGTGGCGCCAGGATCGGTGCCAATCGGAGCAGCTGGAAACGCTGGGATATATATTTTTCCCCCTCATCCCTCTTAAACGAAGAGAAGGGTTTGTCCCACTGGATCAGGACAGACCGTGCGTGCCTGGCTTATCTTGACAGACCTTAGGCGTCTACAAGCCTTGCAAGGTCCCTCGTGTTCCTCAAACTCTTCCAAAACCAACTCAGAACAGAAATACGAGCCTGGCTGCCCGCTCTGACCCACTTTGGTTGTAAGTGGTGGAACTCAGAGGCCATCACATCTGTCCCCATCGGCCGCGCCTTAATTTGAGCCCCGAAAAACTTCCAAGCAGTTTCCCAGTAGGGTCCCCCAAGGAAAGAAGTCACTAGAGAGCTCCAGGCAAGGGTGATCCAGGGCACGAAGCCCATAAATTACCAAAACCCATAAAAAGAAGAGCCGTGTCTCTGGAGATGTCCTCACCCCAATCAAGTCAGGTTTTCCTGCTGTCAATAGCTGGAACAGGACGTCCCGTTCTAGCAATTCTGAAGCCTTTAAAACGGGTCACCCTTTGTCACCCTCCACCGCCAAGAATTACGACTTAAGCAAATGAAGTCTGCAAAATGGGAGGGCTCCGCCCACAAGGGAAGGCGTAAAATTAAGTGGGAAGGTGGCAGAGGGTGCCATCTTAATAAGCCAGGGTAGGCCCGGACGCGAAGGCTGTCTCTGTGGCGCGCCGTGGTTTGTAAAGTCTCGGCTTGCAGATTAGCACAATGTACAAACCCAGTTAATGTATGCAGCTGATTCAGCAAAAACTGGGCTTGATGGGTAGGCAGAAACAACTGCAGAGTCCACCCTGGAGGGAAGGAGTGTGGGTGTAAAGACCCACCCCACTTTACATCTTAAGAAGACAGAACTCTTGGAATATCTCTTCCAACCGGCATCTTTATTAAGAGACGATGGTTGCAGGCATTCTAGACAGGACCTGAGGGCCCACCCGTACCATTCAAGGTTTTAAGTGTTCCCCAGCAGCCACCCCACCCCACCGTCCTTCCAGCGACAGTCCCAGGCATTACATTTCCACCCCCTTTTCCTCTCGACCGGCAGAAGGGAGACTTCAGAGAGTAGTAGATGAAAGGTTATGGCCATATTGTTATGGTCAGTCCTCTTGGTGAGAATCCACATTCAGTCCCTTTGAAGTTTTAACGAAGGAAGTGAGAGCCATAAAACCCCTTTGCTCATCCCCCTTCCCCTTCGTAGTATGACAGAATCCAGAGACGGCAGAAATGGGGTTTTCCATAGTCGATAACTAGAAATGAAATATAATTCGATTCTGACAGTGGGAAAGGGACTGCGAATACGAGGGCTGCGATGTAAATCTCTACGTGGGAGGGAAGCCCCTTGCAAACTGTGGCCCTCCTGATTCAGAAGGCTGGGAGGGGGAAGGAGAAGAGAACTGGCGGGGGCAGCTGCCCTCCGCAAAACGGGGGGGGGGGGGGACAGGACTAGATTGAAGTCAGACAGGTCTTGGGAGTGGACGTCCCACCTGGACGTCAGACCCTCGCTGGCTCGCTATTCCTTGAGCAATTCCTTCTCTTTTCTGTTCCTTCTCACGAGTTGTAGATTCAGGGCAACCAAAGGACATCCCTTGTCCCTCTGCTGATCCTCAACTCCACGGAAGTCATTCCCACAAGACGCCCTGGAAGAATCTCTCTCTTCCTCTCCCCAGCTGGAAGCCACGATGGATGGGCAAAGAGTTTTCTTTCAAGGCTGTGAACGGAGGGGGAAGAGGAGGGAAGTCTGGTCCTCTCTGACCATCTTTGAACTTCTCCAGAGGCTTCTGGTGGCTGCAGAAAACACCACGCTGGAGTCTGGTCATCGCTGGTTAGGATCCAGCTTGGCTTCTCACAGCTCTTCCAGTCTTCAGCTTCCTGATCGTTGGCAGGGATGGAGTGTAGGAAAAGGAGTCGGTGGCACTCAGCAGTCTCTTGGCCCTCCCCGCAGGGACGGGACCATCGCCTCTCGCTGCCTCTTTGGCAGGGCAAAGTCTTAAGAGCACGTGGAGATCTTCGCCTTGAGACAGAGAAAGCCTCAGACGAGCAGCTTCTTCCCCTTGGAGGGAGGGATGAAGCTTCTCTGCCCAAGAAAAGCAGCCCAAATTGACTGGCAGGAACACGGGCAGCGTCCACCTTGGGCGAGAGATCTGTGGGAGTCGCTCTCCCTTTAAAAAAAAAAAAATCTCTAAATTGATTTTTTTCCCCCACCCTTTTGTTTGCATAACTTTTGAAAAATTGAAATTCAGGGGAAGGAGGAATCTGAAATAAAATTATGTTGGAACCGGCTGTTTTGAAGGAAACGGGCACTTCCCGCGGAACAGCAAGTATCCAGGACCGCAGCTCTGATTTGGGGAACAGCTGTAGAGAAAGGGATGGGAAAGCCATCTGCTTTCAACAAAGGAGAGTTCTTCCGAAGCTTGGGAGCGAGCTCCTTTCTCTGCTCGGTTGTGCCATCCGGTTACGGATGTTGAGTCGGGGCCCGTCCTTCCAGCCCCGTTCACATGTTTCCAAGAAAGAACAGGCCAAGAATGGCCCCAGAGATCGGTGCAATCTCCCCAAACCCGCCCAACGAGGAAACAGAGGGGTTCCTAAAGATATCCCACCCTTGGCTGTTCTGCTAGACCAGGGGTGTCAAACTCACCACATCACATGATGTGTCGCCGTATGTCGCAACTTCTTCCCCATTGCCGAAGCTGGGATGGGTGCGGTTTCGGCATGATGCATCCGGCAGTTTGACACCCCTGCGCTAGACCATCCTCCGGGGGGGGCTGATGGGTTGCCAAGGGGCTTGGGGGGGCTGTTATTGTGGGGCATGTGCAAAGTAGCATTCTGAGGAGATTCAGAAATTTGCCCTTAGAGGCCGGTGGCTTGCAGGTCACACCTCCCCAGTGAAATCTGGGATGTTTCAACACCTGGGCTGGCAGGCGGAGGGAGGGAGGGGCGCATCGCCTTGCTGGCCCCAGAGCCCCCATTACTGAGGACAAGGGTTGGGAAACACCGCCTCCCCCTCGTCTGGGGGGTGCTGCAGAGCGGCTGGGCAAGCAGAGTCAACAACGCTGGACGGAACAGAGGAGCGTCTGATTGGGCACCTTAATAAATACATTTATTCCTATATTTATGGTTAGTGGTTTCGCCCTCCCGAGTCCCACAAGCGCAGCCATGCACAGAACACTAGTCAAACGGCGTCAGCGACTGAAAATGACAAATAGCCGGGCAGGAGCTGCGCAAATGTAAATCTGCTCATGGGGCAGGGCAGGGCAGAGGGTAGCAACCAACAGAGGACCAGGGGGACAGATTGCAGGCAGCTCGGGGGCCTCCTCGGATCAGCAAAGCCCCCTGCCCAACAAGGGGGGCTCCTGGGGCCAGTCGGTGTCCAGAATCGCGCCTTAGGGCCCCGTATCATTTCCCAAGAGAAGCAGAGCTTCAAGCCTTCTTAATGGAATTGCCTTGAAAGCATCTGCCTGCTCTCCTTTCCCGGGACACGTTGGGCCGGTGGTCAAAGGAGGGGACTTGCATCTCAGAGGGGAAATGCCGGATACTGACCTCCCCCCCCCTGAGCAGAGGCCCCTCCCCTCCCTTTTGCGCTGTGTCTAAATTAGCCACAACCAAGCACAATTTTCTCCTTCTGCTAAAGTTTGCTCAGGCTCCCGGCCAGAGGGAACATCGCAACCGCTGCTGGCCCAGCGCCTCAGTGGAAAGTTCAGAGTCTCGGGAAGAAGCCCAGCAGCTCTGGCACCTGGTGCCTCGGCTGGACAGGAGCCCCCCCGGGGAGCATCTGGGCAGAAGGGACGGCGCTGCTGGCCCTCCCTGGCTCTGGGAACAGGCAGCCTCATCCATCTCGCCCGGAGAGGTGCTGTGGACGGACGCTTCCCAGACAGATGTTGACCAAAGGGGAACCCGAGGAGCGTGGATTGGTCGCGGAGGGTTATACCTTCCGGATCTTCTGCTCAAATCCAGTTTGGGGCTGTCGCCTCTGGTCAGAAAAAGTCCCGCAGCCCCCAGAAGGCCTTTCGCTCTTCTTGGCCACATCCAGACCCCCTTCGCAATTACGGCCCTGAAATGAAATTCCAGGTTGATTTTGTCTACAAGATGCCCTCAGCAAGTAAGATTCTGGGAAGACCTTAATTCCAGGCCCTGCAGATGGGCACGGACACTGGAACCAACCCCAAGCCACCTCTGTGTCCTCAGATGCCACTTGGGCCCCTCTGTTCAGGCGGCTATGGGGTGGAGGGCCTCAAGAGAAGCTTGCACATCCCCTCCTGGCTCCTGGGGGGCACAAAAGGGCAGGGGGGCAAGGAAGAAGGGGCACTTTTATTTCCTTTTTTTAATAAAAGTTTTATTGGTTTTTTTTTTCATTTTTTACAAAGCTTGGGACACACCGTGGTGGTCAGGGTGTCGAATCGTTCAAAGACAAATTCACATACATGTAGCTCAAATTAATTATGAACAATTTCCTCTCTTATTTCCTAAAATATAATATTACTTATTAAAATGAATACAGTTTTAGGTAAAAATTCAATCAAGCAAAAATCCTCAAGTCCCCTTGGCAATGATAATAATCTGTAGCCTGTTTTTAAACTTTACTAATTACAATGGTCATATTCCAGTTACATTTCAATGAACATATCGGATTTCAGGTATCCTTTAATGATAGATCGTTCATTGAGACTAATTTTTTCCCTATCGCAAGTAATTCTTCCTCTCTATTACAACATATTTTCCGTATTTAGAATAATAATATAAATCCAACAGATGCAGTACTATTTTTAAAGATATATTCTATCATTTCATCAGTCCATATCTATAAAAAATCTTTTTAGGAGAAGGGGCATTTTTCTTGGTCCACTCCGGCTGGGCAGATGTCCTTCAAGACAGCTGAGGCCAGAAGGGCTGCTGCTGGCTCCAGGTCTTGCCAGGCCCCACAAGCAGGCCACCGGGGACGATGGGTCCTCCCCACCCCCCGGCCTCAAAATGCCTTGTGGTTATCGGTCCGTTTCCACCAGGTCTCCTGACCCAGACCCAGCC